TGGCTTATGAGATCAAAATAAGTAACTTTGGTAGCACATTGTGAGATAAATTGGAAAGTTAAGAATGCATTATGAAGTACATTACTCTTCTGTTGAGGAACTAAAATGATATGTTTTCCCATTGACTCATTGCATTTACTATATTTGACAAGTGAAAAATTAGTGATTTCCTTTCACTGTTTAACAGTTGCTTTCACTCATTCCTAGTTTAGATGGGGAAAGGGTATAGCTCACAATTTGTTTCTTTATTTTAAATGATCACTGTTGTTAGATATTTAGGGGAATATACTGTTTGAAAAGAATTTGCACGGGATGTGACTGTTTAGAGATACTGACACATTTTCTCATGGATTCTATAAGCGGTTCAACAAGTTAGTATTGATCTTTAGGGTTAAGATTAGCAGGAAGGAACATGAAATATTTGCAATAGCTAGATCTATATAAGATTTTGTGTATGACATTAATAGCTTGACAACCATCTGGGGAAAGCTTTTGGAATGTGTCTATTCTAGCCTTAGTTCTTGGTATACTTAATGGAGAATGCTTCTACATCTTGAGAAATCAAGGAAAGCAATGCTTTATATTCATATGTATAAGTAATCAGAGCATTTTCTTTTTGCTGTTGATAATTTGAAATGACACCATAATATGAGTAGAATTTTTATTAATCTTTTTGGGTAAAATTTATCAATATTGTACAAATGCAATTTCTTTTAGATTTTTCTGTAAATATTAATCACCATGTCACTTCAAAGACTAACATTTTATTGTTATATTAAATGACATACATTGATAATTATAATTATATATCTGTATTTTGTTAAAAAGATGCCTAAGAAATTATATTAAAGTGTGTTATTAAACTTTTTTATCATTTTGGAGGGTAATTTTTTTTGGAGGGTAAACATTTTAAGAGTCTATAAATACTGTTCCAAGAATAAGCACACATGTGCAGACCCCAAACACAAATTCGATAGTTCTCAATTACAAAGCAGGCAGAAATGGGCCTGCTGTTCATTTTTCACGTGTTAAATATAATTCTTGGTGTGTTGACCATGTCATTGAAGGTGAAAGCCCTGACAGATGTTCAACACATGAAAATTTGGATGTGAGAGGAGGGCGAGGTGGTGTGTTTTGTTTCAGGTCCAGGAGACAAAGGCAAAGATACAAGAATGAACTCCTTGCGCCACTGACTGGTGATGACAGATTACTTCTGGCCCCTTGACTGGAAAACATTCCAAGGGACATCGCGACAGGATGAGGTTGCTGCTATCAAGAGCAGTCACATTCTGAAAATTAACACTTGCTTCCATACAAGCTCCCTCACAGGGGTCAGCAGCTATTCACAAGTGGGGCACCCAGTTGCTGACCCCTGATTTCTGGAATGTAGGGGGTCAGAAGACCTTGGGGGCTCCCAGAGGAGGCACAGTGTAACCTATATAGAGAAAGAGCACACTCATTCTTTACATTAATGAAATTTTGAGAAAAAGAATCCTCACTTTTAAAATACAAATAGCTCTTCTCTCTTCAGACCTAATCCTATCAGTAATTCGCACCTTAGCTGTAAAATAAATAGTAGATTTGAAGATAACTGGAGGTATGGTAGCAGGCAAAAAGGAGTAATTTTTGTAGCAAGACAGTTCTGGGAAGAGTTGGAAGGCAAGGAGAAGGTGCATGAGGAGAGCCCTCTCACCAAACTCTAGAGATTCCCATGAAGTCCTGTGCAGAGCCATTAAAAATAGCATTTCATGAGATTCTTTCGGACACCACGATAGAGTTGGTGAATGCTAAACCGATGCTCTAGTTGGAGAGTTTTTAAAGGAGCTTTTATTTTGCAGTGCAGCAAAAGTGTTGGGTTTCTGCATAAGGAGTTTGTTGGCTCATCCACATGAACATTTTCCTACACTTTCTTTTAGGAATTAAATAATTTCATTAAATTATTACCACACATTTCATTTTTTTTTCTCATTTAGTTTATTGGTACATTTTAGGTATCCAGCACAGTTACATTCATCATTGGGATCTTGTACATTTACATGACAGGTCTTGGTTCTCATTTTTTTCCCAGACCCCTGCCCTCCCTTCACCCACTCCTCCCTTCCCTATTTACTAAAACTTTATTTCCATTTTTTCATTTTTTCATACTTTTCCCCCTTATTTTCTTGCCCCTACCCTTCCCACTTCCCCTACACCTTTAGCCCTTTTATACCATTAGGGTCTTATTTATAATTACAGTTTTTCACACCAGAGAAACTATTTAGTATTTACACATGTGTGACTTATTTATTTCACTTAGGAGTATATCCTCAATATGCATCCATTTTCCTATGAATGACTCTAACTACCACACATTTTATACCCGCTGATCATTTTGTTTGAAAATAAGTGCACAGATAAGTTGAGAGTGTGATGAGCAGTTAAATAGGTATACATGGTTATAGTGTTCTAGGAGTGTAAGGCTTAAAAACGAACTACCAATGGACAAATAACATAGATGCAAATAAACATCCAACGGATGCTAAACTTAGGATCCCTCTACATGCTGATAGACTTTCAGATATGTTTTTTCTGAGGAGTTTTTATGGTGCAAACATCATTGCCTTGGGAATTAAGGAAGGTGCTTTCAAACCATGGTTTTTTTCCAATCATGATTTGGTGAGAAACTATAACTATTTTAGGTCTCAGGTTTTTTATTTATGAAAGGAGTAGCTAGGAAGAGAATCTTTACCATTCCTTTGGTTTCAAATTTATATGATCTTTGTATATAAATATTTAACTCACTATGTATATATCTTTACAAAAAATATTACAGTACCAGGATAATTTAAAAATTATTGGATCTTTTAAGATAAAATTTATCTTTTAAATGCAGTTACGCTTTATTAAATTATTATATGTAGGACAAATTTTACTATTTCCATATTTGAAGGAAGCTATACTCGCTAATATATTTGCTACTTCATAGTGAATAGAAAAAAATTAATACAATTTTCTTTTCACAATGTTTTTAATTGCATGGTATCAGTGATATCATTGAAAAAGTGTGGCAACCTAGACAAATATCTAGAGATTATTCCAAACCCATTCAAAATACACTTAAATGCTTGCAAAGACACTTGGGCTCATTTTATTCATGCTGAGACTCAGATATGAGCTTATTACTGAGCAATTTATTCCAGAGGTTAAACACGACTAGATAAACACAGACATTCTATGCTCTTTTTAAAATCATATTCTTTTGGTCACTAGAATAACTTATTATTAAAGCCAAGGCATTTTTTTCTATATAACAACTTATATAATTCACATATTCATACATACAATTCATCTAAACTAAAAAATCCAAGGATTTCAAATACACTCATAGATCTGTGGAATAACCACGATCAGTTTTAGAACATTTTCATTACCCTGCAAAAACTGCCAGCCTAGCCTCTGAAAAGTCACCCCTTTTCAACTTTTTCTTAAGCTCAAGTCCAAAGCAGCAGCTACTACTGTACTTTTTCAGCCACATAGATTTGCTTATTCTGGGTATCTCATATAAATGGATTCACAGAATATATGTTTCTTTGTGATGGGTTCCTTCACTTAGCACATTTTAAAGGCTTGTACATGTTGTAGCAGATACCAATAGTTCTTTTATGGGTGTGGTCAACACAGATGATGAATGTTTAGTAACATTATTATAGTAAAAGATATATTGCCATGAATGCCTTTCAGGAAAGTCATTCTTCCCCAAGCATGGTGGCTCATGCCTGTAATACCACCTCTCTTGAGGCTGAGGCAGGAGGGCAGCCTCAAGTTTGAAGCCAACTTGGACTACATAGGGAGTTCAAGGAGAGTATGAACTACATAGTGAGACTCTATTAAAAAAAAACCAAAAACAGAAACCAGAAAAAACAATCCCCCCACAAACTGAAAACCTCTTCCTTGCTTCAAATAGTTTTCCAATCATTACTGCCAATTTCTGAAGCAATCGAGTCCTTCATGAGTGTGTTTACAAACTCTGATCAGAAATGTTGTGCCTACTACTGCCGGTAACATACAATGTAAAAACAGATTTGTTGAAAGTATTATGATGTGTTTTTGTCCACATTTTTCACCAGATCTGATACCTTGCCTTTTCTGGCCCTTCCCCAATGTCAAGATGACTATGAAAGGTAAATCTTTTGAATTGATTCAGGGCATGAAGGCAGGCACGACAGCACAACAAAAGACAGTCATAAAAAAGGACTTCCAGAACTGCTCAAAGTGACAAGAACAGTGGGATAAGTGTGTTAGAAACAAGGGGAAGTTTTCTCATTTTTTTGAGGGACATTAATGACAATGTATCTTTTACTGTAATAAAATTTTTAAATTTAAACATTTACCAAATTTTGATCTCGTCATATTTTTAATGATGAATATAACCATTGTAGAAAATACACAACTTTTTTATTCTTCATTTGATGGACATTTGACTTATTTTTACCTTTTAGCTATTTTAAATAATGCTGCTATATAATTCTGTACACAAATTATTGTGTTGACATATGCTTTCATTTCCCTTGAGTATATACCTAGGGGTAGAATTGTGAGTGTTGAGGAATCTTTTTAGGAACTGCCAGGTTTTCCAGAGTACCTGTACTATTTGACACACTTCCCAGCAATGGAGGATTTTGATTTCCCCACATTCTTGCTGACAGTTGTTATTACCAACCTTTTAAAAATCATAATCAGTCTAATGACCATATAGTAATACCTTATTTTGGTTTTGATTTGCATTTTCCAGGTAACTAATATTGTCAAATATCTTTCCCTATGTTTTCCTGTTCATTTATATATCTT